CTCTGCCAACCCCCAAGGCAGGTGGGGGAGGGCAGACAGCATGGCAGAGAGGGGTATCTGGAAGGCCAGACAAAGAAAAGCATCGGCAGGCACCATCTGGTGCCCAGGGCCCTGGTGCCAAGAACTGAGGTCACTCCAATGCCAGGGGTGAGGGGAGGAGGTGGGTGGGGAGCGGATTTAGAGAGGATGGGGAGTCAGGGCCAGCCCTGTCTGTGTGTGCTGGGGTCAGGGGGTAAGCCTGGGAGGTGGAAGGTCCAAGTCTTCGATCCCTAACCCCAAAGAGGGGGTGATGTGGTATGCACGGATGGATTGACTCTGGTGTGGATGAGTGGGTAAGGTCTTAGCTCTCTGCCCTGGCTCCATCGAGCCCAGACATTGGCTGTCTAGGGTGGAAGGAGGTCTGATGGTACCCCCAAGGAACAGAAGGTGGTAAATGGGGAGAAAAGAGAGGGGACTGAGTGTTTAAGAGACTCAAGAAGGGAGCCATGGAGAACAGATAGGAGGAGCCATCCACTTCCTGCAAGGTGGGCAGGGGCCCCCAGAATTACCTGGGGAATACCTCCAGCTACAATCCCCACAGGTCCACCCCACTCATCCGGAGGTGGTTCATACCCATCCGGGTGCAGAGAAAAGAAGCCACAGCCTTAAGTAATAATACTTTTAATAAAATTAAGTTCTTAATAGCACATTTAATACATTAACCCTCCCCTTTCTTGGTTTCTCTGCATTTTGTGCAACATCACTTTGACTTGATTATTTATGGGTCCGTTTTGTTTCCCGCCTTTATTTTGCTTTTGAAGTATTTTTCCTTGGTGGATTTGTATGTCTTCACTAGATGCCTCAAATTAAGTCTGACCACAATCCTACTCTACTTTCTACAGTGGAGAGAACATCCCCCCTGCCCCAGGGCTGTCTCCCCCAACCCACCCTACCCCACCCGCACCCTTGAGCGGGGAAAGGGAAGCCCTCCCCACCCCAGACGCTACCTTCCCAAACTAGCGGGGTTTCTAGGACAAAAAGAGCAGGGGGTAAATCTGTCCCTAGGTGGGGTGAGAAGAGTAAACCGGGGAGAGGGAGATGTGTTTGGGGTATAGGACCAAAGAGGGGCATGACAGTCACTGGTGTAACGGAGCAGGCTCCTCTTGCCAAAGGGAGCGAGGGACCTCTGCTCCCCCTTGGATGGGAAGGAGGGGCCTGATCTGATTGCAGGCTGGGCTTGGTAGAAGGCAAGTGCTTTAAATATAATGCATGCAAAATACCAAGCTCCCCATTTTTGTGGGGAGGGTGATGTGCCCCCAGGCCAGGACACAGTAGATGACCCCTAACTGTGTCACTTACAGATGGAGGTGGATTGGAGCAGAGGGTTAGGGTCAGGGTCATCCAGAGTCCCTACTGCCCTCCGCTTGCCTTTATACCCTTGGGGGCCCTGTTCTCCCAGGCCTTCAAGGACAACATCTCCTCCTCTCCACCCCAGCAGGTGGGAAGTCCTTCTTGGAATCTAACTTCTATGAGACAATAAAGCACTTTGAAAACCTGTAAAGCAGTGTGGTTTTAACGATTTTTTGAGATTGTTACACCCACTGCTATGAAGGCCAAAAGCTAAGTGGGATATTGGGTGGGAACATGGATGGGGGACAGACTACTCCCTTAGTCCCCTTGAAGCTCTGAGAAGGTGAGAAGTGCGTGTCTCTCTGTGGAATGCTCTATCAGGCTCTTGAATCATTCTTTGAAGTGGTTAAGGTGACACTTTAAGGACTTCCTCAATTAGGCCTGCTAGAAGCTAGCTCTGGAGGTTTGAGCTGGGAGAGAGGACGCTTTTGAATGAGTAAGGGCTGCCCAACAGGCACAGAGGGATTGACAGGATAACAGGCCCCCAGGGACTGGGACACAGAGGAGGGGGGCAGGCTGCAGACAAGAGCCCTCACCCTCTGCTGCCCCCAGCCCAGCTCCCATCTGGGTGAAATTATCAATGTTCAGCCTTTCAAAGACCCTGGCAACTGAACCCCTCATGTATTTGTCCTACAATTAAAAATTCAAGGATTCTCAGAATCAACCCCAGCAAACTGGAAGTTCCCAGCCTTAAATAGCAACCTGCTCCCATCTGGATATCTGAAGACGGGTGACTCAGGGTGGATTCAGCCACTTCTCTTCTCTATTTTCCTTTTCATTACAACTTTTATACATTCTACTGGACCCAGGGGCCCGCAATGCTACTAAACTTTAAGCTATCTGAATATCGTCTACTAAGTAACTAGTTATTCTCTTTTTCTCTAGGATTATATGAAATAAATTTGAATTATTATTAATAATTATTATTTTGTAGTATTCTTTTCTTTTAAACCCTTCGGTTTCTTTTCTTCTCTCTCTCTCTCATTTTTGGTTAAACAAAACAAAACTATTTCTCTTAAATCTCACACCTCTCTGAGGGGTCCCGTAGGCCTGCTAGGCCTCAGTTCTGAGCTTCCCCTCCTTTTGAGCCCCCGAGATGGGGCAGGGGAAGGGGGGCACCCAGGATCCTCAGTCCTACTGCTTCTTCCTTTCTTGTTAATCCCTTTCTTTGTTCAACTCTGCCAGCTCCCCGCCCTGAGGGGGAAGGGGAGAGGGGGGGGGAGCCCAGAGTGAAATCCCATCTACTTGCAGGGCCCCCGGGGGACCAGTTCCCCTAGCCCCTTTCTCCACCATCCATCCCAGGATGCTCCCCCAAAAAGCAAATGACATTCCTCCCCAAAAAAAAGTAGGGGAAAAAAGGAACGTAAACCAGAACATATATTAAAAACACTTTTTTAAGATTTAACTCTGAATACAAATGTATTTTTTTTCTTCTTCTCTCCCTACATATATTCTAAGCCTTCTAAAGTTTTTTTATTTTTTTTAAGGATCACTTTATCATAAAATAAAATATCCTTTTCATATAATAAATTACCTAATAAAAAGTCTTTTTTTTCATATTAGCCCAGGTTCTTTGCTACATTTATACGGTAATAAACGCCTTTATTAAAATAGAATATTAAATTATAAAGAACTGTTTTTTTTTTTTTTTGCTATTTTTGTTTTCTCTCCTCTCTGTTGGTCGCCTATCTCGCTCCCTCTCACGCTCTCTTTCTCTCCTTTCTTTTGTGTCTTTGTGAGTTTTGTGTTTGTTTCTAGGTTTGGCTCAATCTGTAAGGGTGGGATTGAATTTCTGAGCCCCCTAGAGTAACAGTCTTCTGCCTTTGTGGGTAAGGAGTGGAGAGGGGGAGGGGGGTTGACAGACAGACATTCCCTCTTCCCACCCCCCTCCCCACCCCCCTCGGTGACCGAGGGTGCCCATTTGGTTTGGTTTCTTTTGTACAGACATCTCAGGATGGCTCACATTGGTGGGAAGGAGGGAAAGCGTCATAAGCCAGTTTTCCTGGCTGTGACCTCTTTCCTCTCCTCTCCCTGGCTGGTGGTCTGGAGGGGAAGGCTGAGGAGAGGGGACTTAATTCACAACAGGAGGAAGGAGAGGAGGAAATCCCCTCTATACTCCCATCCCTGCACCCCCTCTCCATCCAGGAAGAATGGGACTTCGGAGCTTAAGTGCTCAGAGATCACTTAGAACAGTCCCACCCCACTATATACAAGAATCTCCTGGGACCCCCGGGAACTCCCATCTCCAACCTCTCCTGGCCCGGCCAGCGGAACCAGGAGAGTGGAAGGCTGGTGGCAGCTCTAGGAGCAGTAGGTGAGCAGCAAAGGCGGTACGAGCCCTGCGAACAGTACACGATTCTCAGAACAGGCCCTGCCACACCCCGATCCTGCCTGGCCCTGAACTGACCCTCTCTGGACACCTGGTCTCTCTCCTCGACCACAAAGGGTAGGAACAGAGACTTCATCATTTGCTCACTAATAAGGGTTCGGGTCAAGTCCAGAGAGGGGCGCAGGGAGTGGGGCACTAAAGTGCGGGAGAGGCAGCCGTTCCCTCCACCACCTCTCCTCCTGCCTCAGGCCCTTTCCTGCTCCTTGAAACAGCAGACACACTACCCTGGCTCAACCCTCCCACCACCAGAAAATCTAGCACAAGAACTGCTCCCTAAATGTAATGCCCAGAGATGAGAAAGGTGGAGGTTCGACACTTTATGTACCCCGATATCAGTCCCCTCCTCAAATTGTCACTGAGAATGGGGATACATTCTATCAAGAATTCGAGGTGTTTCTTTGGAGAAGTGGGAGAGAGGGCCCCCCCAGGGGCCAGAAGAGGAATCAGGGGACCACCAAAATGTTCTTCCCCCTACTTCTCCCCAGGGGAATTATGTCCCCAAAGCTGGGCTGGAAGGGGCAGAAGGGAGAGGGGAGGTTAGAAAGAGCAGTACAGGGTTGTGAGTGACAGCCTCTGCCGCGAAGCAAAGAGAAGAGCTGGGGAAAGGGTGGAGAAAGTAGAACCCAAAGGGAGGGAGGCGGGGGAGAGAACGAAGGGCAAGCCGAAGGGGCAGAGGAGTGACCCTCTTCAGGTTCCTCTAGCCCAGCTTTGTGGGGACAGATGAGTTCTGAGCCCTTTTTGATTGACAAGCTTCCTCCCACCCCAAAGTCTACACAGAATTCTGAAAGGGCTCCAACTCCCTTATACTGTTTGAGACTCAGGAACGAATTCCCAAACAGGATATGGCGGTGCAGAGTCTAAAGGGTCATGTAGGAGGTCGGAGTTCAGGTCCAGAGGTCTTGGGGATTGTAAAGAGCACCTCTAGATACAGATGGTGATTCTCCCTCTCCCTTCCCCACCCCGTCCACAGAGGAGGGGGTACTGTGACACACAGAGGGGGAGGTGGGTAGAGGGGGTCGGGATGCCTTAGCGGCCACCTCTGGCAAAACAAGTTTCTCTTAGCTGCTTCCAGATTGAAGGGTGTGTTGAGGTATCAGAGTTGTAACTCTAGTAAAATTTCCCGTCTGGCCCCCTCCCACCCTTTCCAGGACAGGGTGACCAGAGGCTCTGAAAGTGGCCCACCCTCCAGCCACCATGGCCTCCCCCACCCCCTTCCCTAGCGAGCGAGTATCTCTAAGCACCTTGCCCCTCAAATCACTGATTTCCAAAAGGCCCTGGTGAAAAACAGCACCAAGGCAGGCCCCTGGGGAGTGGCCCCAGGAGGCACGGGGCAAGGGGCTTAGGAGAATATTCGGATGGCTTGCGTGGCTGTGATGTGGCAGACGGGACACTCCGGGTCCGTCCTCTCGCAGATGCGTACTGCACACTCCATACAGAACAGGTTGTGTCCACAGGGCACGAGGGCAGCAGTCACCTCACTCTCGAAGCACACCATGCAATCCCGCCCGCCGCCGGGGCTCCGCAGGCCGCCCCCGCCAAGTTTGGAGAAGCCCTGGAGCGGCTCTCCGGGCGGCCGTCTCGGGAGGCCCGCCAGCTCGGGCCCTGCGGAGGCGGCAGGAGAGCGGTGGGCTCCCGGGGGCCCCGCGCGGGCCTTGGCGGAAGAGGAGGAGGAGGAGGAGGCGGAGGAGAAGAGCACCGAGGTGGGCGTGGCGTTCTCCTGGCCCGCCCAGAGCGGGGGGCTGGTCTCGGCCACGCCGTAGTACACGTCCTGCTTGCCCACGCCGTAGCCCGGAAACAGGTAGCCGCCGTAGCCAAAGTCCCCGCCCTGTTCGCCCAGGCGCGGGGCCTCAAAGCCGGAGTCCACTCCGCACTCGCCGATGCATCCCAGGCTGTTCTGCCGGAACGTGGAGAGCGGCTTGCAGCCGGGCGGGTGCACGCGCCAGGCCTCCGAGTAGCGGCTATCCAGCGCGGCGTCGGGGCTCCCCGCCAGGAAGTCGTTTTCATTGTTGTACTCGAGGATCTTGCCGGTGCGCACCGCGATGTGCGTCTCGATCTCCTCGCGCGCACGCTCTACGTTTCCCGGGGCACCCGTGATCTCAAACACCGGGTCGCGGTCGCGGCTTGGCGTGATAATGTACGTGTTGGTCTGCTGCTGTATGCGCTTGATGGTTGCCCCCTTGGGGCCCACCACCAAGCCCACCACACGGTAGGGCACCCGCACACGAATGGTCACCTGGCCGGGCAGGGCAGGCGCCACGCCAAACGCTGCCCCTGACTTGTTGCGGGAGGCACGGATCATGGAGAAGTGCTCTGCTGCTGAGATGATTTCCCGTCGAGCTGTGGCCACGTCCTCCCGCCGCCCGGTCACCATGAATACTGGCTCCTCGCCCCGTACTGGTGTCTTGATGTATGTGTTGGTCTTGGCCCTCAGAGCCTTAATCTTGCAGCCTGGGATAGAAGGGAAGGGGAGAGAGAAAGAAACTCACAGGGCAAGGTTTGTGCTGCGACCTATAAGCTCCTGATCCTTATATCCTGTACATATCCAGATACCAGCCCCCCAGGAACCTCTCAGGCTACCCTTGGAACACTGCACCCCCATCTGCCCTGACTTGAACAATCCCCTCATGTCTCAGATCCATCCAACATCTCTATCAACCACAGGTTTCAAAATGAACCAACTTTCCCTTGAATTCCACTCAGGACCCTCCTAATTTACTGGCTCCCCGAAACCGGCAAATAATCACTGATCCTCCCAGACAAGCTGCTTAACCTCAAATCTACTCACCAACTCCTCCCTGACCATGTGCTTTTCCCTCAGTTTCTCTGATTCCCAGCTACTGACAAACTTCCAAATCACTTCATCACAATCCTCCCCAATCTGTTGCTGACCCTGATCTTTCTACAGAACCCCAAAGCATTCAGTAACCCCACAATCTAGTTCTCACTTGACTTCCATTCATTTTAATCTATCCAGGGTTCACTGACACCCCCCCATCTCCTTATCCCTCTCCACACCTTCCACCCATTAGTGTCTCTCAATAGGCCCCAAATTGATAGCAAGTTTGCAGCAACTAGTGGAGTGTGGGAGACTGGAAAGAGTCTGAGGATCAGTTTCAAGAGGAAAGGGAGTATGGAGATAGGATAATGATTGTGAGTGAGCACCTAACCCTGTGGACACTCCTGCCACCCTGTCCCCTGCGCAGGAGAGCTGAGATGGGCCTGGGGCTGAATAGAGGAGGGAAAAGGCATTCTGGACCCATTCTCCTGCTTTGAAGTAGGAGTGGGTTAAAACTGGGAGGTTGGGTAGAGAGACAGGAAGAGAAAGAAGAAAGCTGAGACAAAGAGGGACAGAGAGGAAGAAGGGGAAAGAAGAGAGGGAGGGAGGCTGGGATAGCCACACCATCTCTAAAGGCTGTGGACCTCGAGAGCTGACCAGACAAGCCTCTCTCCTTTCCCACATTCCCTCTCCCTGCCCCGAGCTTCACACGCAGCCTCAGCTACTCACACAGTTTTTCGAAGCACACATGCCACGAGTTTGCACACACACGGACCTAAAAGCCATGAGGTACCATGTGCCTTTAGCTAAAGAATGCTTGCGCTGCAAGCTCAAGGTACACTTTCACATCACCCCCTGACACACACGAGTGCACACATGTGCAGATTCCGTGTTTCAACCTTCCACACATCCCTCTTCCATCCTCATCATCCCCAGCACACGGGCAGCACATTCCTCTATGTGCCCACAACTTCTACTGCCATTCACCCATAGACCCATTCACCTTGTCCAGGTACACACTCACCACCCTCTTTCTCACTCCCCCACCACACTATCTATGCCCTGTGCCCCAAACCAAAGCCGTAGTCCCAGTTTTCTGACCCTGCCTCAACCCTCCAACCACAGGCCTGAGGTGAGCTTATTTTTTTCCTCTCCTTTCACTCCCGATTGGCAGGTGGGAGGATAGAGTGGGCTGGGGGCAGCTCTCCTCACCTTTGAGAAGCCTCAGGAAGGAGAATTTGCTTCTCCCTTTTTGTCTTCAAACCACTTAGCAGTTGAGAAGTCCTACCTGTTGTCAAGCCCACATCCTTAGTGCTCTAATGTCAGTAAAGGATTGTTCTATTTGTGAGGCACGAAGAACTGAGGAACAGTGAAGTCCCTTCTCTTACAACTTCTACTCACATGGCATCTGATTGGCACTTGGGTTCTGCCTCTAAGTTTTGGCTTCATCAACTTAGGTGAAACCTAAGTATCTTTGGGGGTTTGGGTTGGGGTGAGACAGACTGGCAGGGGCAAAAGAGGAGAAATGCTTGAGGCCTCGATCTGTGGAACTCATTCTGGGTTTTGCAACCCTGAAGAAGCATCTCTTGACAGGAAGACCCACTGGGCTTCACCTTCCTAGAGGTCAAATAGAGGAGTATTGACACTGCAGCAGGAGGAGTGCAGTCAGACAAGAGGGAGGACTTCCAGGTGCTTAAGGAACCAGGGGGAGGCTTATATTCTCTGAATAGGAGAAATCCCCCGATTTTTATGAGAGGCCCATCTGATGCGGAGGCAGAAGAGGAAAGAATGACTCCATGAAATTCCAGGGCCTCCCAAGACCACCCCCACATCCAAGAAAAGATATCAGTGTCCCCACCCAATTCCAGGGCTTTGGGTGCTTAGTTTCTGGCAACAACAGGAAATCCAACTTTTTAAACCAGAAATCTCAAGAGATGGTCAAGAGTCGGAGTGCTCCAGGGGGATGAGGGCTGTGCCGGGGAGTGGCATCTTCCCCTCCTCCATTCTGGGTCTCCCTGCAAAATTCCCCCAGCGCCCAACAGTCCTGGTGGTTGAGATGGGATGTGGAGTAGGGGCCCCCTGGCTTGCCGCCCCTCTTCGCCTGCCAGCAGCTGGCCTCCTCCTTCACTCCCAGCCGGAATGCAGCTCCTCTATTGTTCCCCACTGTGGGACAGCTCCTCCCCTGCTCCTCCCCCCCCCCCCCCCCCCCCCCCCCCCCCGCCCCCAGAGTACATCTCCGTATCAATAGAGGTTTCCAAGGGCTAGAGAGAAGTACATCTCCATATCAATAAGTGATTACAAGGGTGACCAGCAGGGGCTTATCTGGACCTCAGTGCAATTTCCAAATCCCGCCAACCCCCCACCCCACTCCCCTCTGGAAAACCGAGAGAAGGAAGGGTCCCCAAGATCCCGTCTGCTCAATCTGGACCCTCATCAACACTCCCACCCCCAGCCCGCCCAGGGATGCTGGAGCGGAGGAGGGTGTGGTATCAGACATATTACACTGGATTAATTCTACAGCACCCTCCGCCCCTGACCACCACCAACACACCCAGACACACGCCCTCCACCAAACCTCCAGGGGAAGGTTTCTCACCACCCAGCATAGCCCCTCCTGCCCTGTCCTACTACTCTCTCACTACTAGAGACCCCTATTCAGGCCTCTGGCCCCTAGCTGTGGCCAGCCCAGAACAAAAGCCTGAGAGGGAGATGGAGCGGTCCATGCCAGGACGTGGCACTTCGTTGGAGGCATCTCTTCCAAAACCCCATGGACGTTTCAACTTTGGTGTGTAGGTGACCAGAGGACTCCCTCCTCCCAGCAGCCCCCCTCCCCATCTCTCCCCAAGCCTGGGACCCTCCCATGAGCCACACCCCCTTCCATTCCTACACTCAGCCCAACAAAGAGACAGATACTCAGTCTGGCTTCCCGGGCCAGGTTTCCCCTAAGTCTGTAACTCCAGCAGCTGGGGGTCCAAGGATTGCCCCCTCCCAACCCACTAGCAGATATCCGAGTAGGGGCCTCTGAGTAACTCTTTGCACATTCCGCCAGTTTTTCTGGCTAGAAGTGGACATCCCTTCCGGACAGGCTCCCTGGATTGGGAGACTGATCCCCCCTCCCTTTTCCCTCTCTCTAGGAGAGGATATTTCTTTGTCTAAAGGCAGAGCCCTGGGGGAGGAAGGATCTGAAGAACAGTCCGGACTGGGGGTGGCAGGGAACTTTGTGGCACTTGGAAATCAGGGTAGGGGGCGGGTCCCCCTTTGTGGGGAAGGGACAGAGCCAGAGGCGGGCAAGGAGACAGGAAACGAACTTTTCGCGTAGGTCTGGGGTGCCCCCACTCCAATGCCTCTCCGCGGTCCGGCGCCCGCTTACCTTGCCTGCCCACGATCTCGGCCACGTGCTCGGAGGTGGGCACGGGTACGCACTCCGTGGTGTTGCTGCTCCCCTTCAGGCGCAGCTCGGCCTCTTTGTAGAGAGCGCAGAGCTTGGCGTCGCTGGCCCCTTTGGGGGCGGTGGGGGGCTGGGGCGTCTGCGCCGCGGGGGCCGCCGTCGGGGCGGCCGGGGGCGCCGCCGGCGGCGGCGGAGGGGCCGGCTGCGGGGGGGCGGCCGGCTGCGCGGGGGCGCCGCCCCCCCCACCTCCCCCGTCCTCGCCCGCCGTGGGGGCGGGGGGCTCCCCCAAACCCAGGAGGCAGAGTTGATCGAGAGCCAGCTGAAGGGCGCGCTCGTCTTCCAGCAGCCCTCGGTCCTTAGCGCTTCCCCCGAAACATCCTAGTTCTCCAAAGCCCCCATTTCTTTCCATTATTCCAGATACCACTAGACTAGGCATGGCGAAACAAAAGCTGGGGGAGAGAGAGAGAGAGGGAGAGAGAGAGAGAGAGGTGGTGGAAGGGAAAAGAGGAGAGGAGGGGAGGGGAGAGGAGGGGGGTGTGTAGGGAGGGGGGAACAAAGAACTGGGGAGGGGGGAAGAAAGCGAGATAGAAAGATAGACCCTCCCCCTAAGCCCCCCTCCCCAAACACCCTGTAACCCGACTCCCCTCGCCCCAGCCCCCGGGGTGGGGGTGGGGTAAAGAGAAGCAGAACCGAGAAAGCAGATCTCCTCTCCTCTCCCGGGGTGACGGGGGGCGGGGGGCTGCGGGAATCTCTGCCCCCACCCCTCCCGCCTCGGACCCGGGAGTCTCTAGACCCCGCCGTGCAGACGGCCCCCTTAGGCTCCCGCACCGAGCCCCAGTCCAGGAGCGGCGCTCAGTGGCCCCCAATAGAGCCCAGCCCCTTCCAGCGCTCAAACTCTTTTGTTTTAAATGAACTGGATGGAGCAGCATGGAACTGACGGGAGGGGGGCGCGCCGGGGGCGCTCGGGGCATGCCGGGAGTTGTAGTTTCCCGCCCTTGGGGGCGCGAGGACGAATTCCTTGACCCGAGGAGGATAGGGATGTGCCTTCGGTCTTTACCCGCGGCTTGGAGGCAGAGCTGGGGGTGTGATGGAAGTCTAGGTCCCTAATTTTTCCAAGAGGCGGGTATGGGGTGAGGAGTCAGTGTAACACAGAACGGGTTGAAAAAAGGCGAATGGAGCGCGCCCCCCTAAGACAGGCCCCCTCCCGGTCCCGGCCGGTCTCGAATCCCTCTTTCTTAGGATAATGGGAGGGCGTGAGAGGGCGGGGAGCGGTCCCGGCTAGGTCACTGCGGCTTTCTCTCTCCCCTCTTCTCCCGCCCTGCGCGCTCCCTCTCCGCTCCCCCTCCCGCAATCCCAGAGTCGATCCCGGCTCTGGCCCGCGGGGAGAGGCGCTCGGCCGAGCAGACAAAGCCCGCAGCCGCGATGCGCGAAGCGGGCTCTGCGCGCTGCGGAGGCCGGGATGGGGTGCCGGGCTGGAGGGTGGGACCCCCTGGCTAAAGACCGGGTCCCCTCTTCCCCAAGCGGCGAGCCATCCCCCCTGGTCCCCTCCCGCCCCCCGCCCCCCACCCCCCAGCCCCCGGCCTCGAAGATCTGAGAGGCACCGATCGGGAGGTGAGTTAGTTCACGTCCTTCCGATCAGCGGAGGGAAGCTGGAGGGCCGTGGAGCGAGGAGGTGACGAGGAGTGGGTGGAGGGAGAGGAGAGAAGTGGAGGCAGAGGGTGGGGGCAGGGGGTGCCCTAAAGGTTTGACGTGACTTAACAGTTTCGGATGAGAGCCCTGAGCTTTGGGGCGACGGAAGGAGGGAGGAAAGACGGATCGACTGGGGATCCAGGCTTCTTGCAGGCCTTGGCCGCGCGCACAGGTTGGGGCTGATGGGTTCTGTCGCTCCACCGTCATTCCCCTTTGCCTCGTCCACCTCTCTCTCATTGAAAACCCATTAATTCAGGTCCTTGGACTCTAGAAATCTAGTGAAAGTAAAAATAAGTTTTTGAGACATGAATTGGACAGTGGGGTACTATTAGAGGATTTGCAGAAGTTGGAGCAATCTTTCTTCTCCCTTTACCCCACACCTTCAGCATTTCTTTTGTGACCCTTTTATATGCCAGGGTCTTTCCCTAGAGGAGAAAGGATGACGCTGCAGCTTGAGGGCTTGAGGGCAGACTTTAAGAAGAACTCCTCCCAAAAGTTTTTATAAGAATGGGTGGGAGGGCTACAGTGGAAAGGTGTCCTTTTCTGGAGTGCCTTGGAAACCAAAAATCTGAACTAGTTTGTGAGGTAGAGTCCTACTTGGAGGCAGGGGGCTGGATGAGACGACCTCCTAGACCTGGCATTGTGAGGCCATGAGGGCTGAGGGCAAAGCCCAGTTCCCTAAACTGATTCTTGGAAAGAGTAAATTTGCACACTAATGGGAGGGTGGGAGCCACAGGGGAGGGTCTCAGGAGGGGTTGGGGGCTGGCACACTGTAGAGTTCTTGCCCCTTGCTCAACACCATCCCGGGAAGGGGAGCCATGACTGAGGAACTGAGGAACCCAGTTGGGGAGGGGGTGCCCCCTGGATTAGGGATTGAATACAAGATTAACAAGCACCCGTACTGCGGGACTGGGACTGGGTTGGCTATCACTGCCAAGCAAGAGTGGGAGAGGAAGCACTGGGAAGGCGAGGCCCTGTGGGACTGGGCTCTTCCCTACTCTTGTCCCCTCTGTCTCTGCCCCAAGAACCTTGACTGGGGGGACTGTGCTCCTGGGGACCCTGAGGCCCTTGGGGGAAGGGTCCTACTTGGTGGACCAGGTGACTGTTTTTCACATGAATAGAAATAGCAAGCAGTTGCATAGGACTTACTGTGTGTCAGGCATTTTTGTCCCCAGCTAGTCTGAGCCTTCCTGTCCCCACCGAAATGAGATTCCCTGTAGACACCCACCCTGAATTTGCCCTGCTTCCACCTTCCTCCCCACTAAGCTAATTAAAGCAGGAGGTTAATGACCAAAGAAGCCTTGGGGATTTGGCCAGGGAAGAAAACAAAGGACAGAAACAAGTGTGTTTGAATGGGGAGGGGTAGACTAAGGGGTGGGTGGGGGAGGTGATGGTCCCTGCTGGACCTACTTCACTGATCCAACGAGGACAGATGAGCTCCCTGGGTGTGTTAATGTACCACATGTCGCATCCACCCTCAGGGTCCCACTGGGGACTCCAGACAAATACCCAAGGTGGAGAAGGCCAGTGTGAACCGAGGCCAGGTTGTGCCCTTAGGTCTGGGTGTGCATGGGGGAGCATGCGCCTGCAGACTGTGTAGGGTCTATCCAGCACAGTGGGCCTACCAGAGGGCTCAGGTGGCAGAGGAGTCCAAGGGTGGGTACCTTGAGGAGCCAGGTCGCCAGGGCAGGTTTCTGAGAAGTCCTTCCCTCGCTCACAGAGGCTGGTGGCCCTCTTTGTTGAGGGGCCTCCCCTCCTCACCAACACAAGTTGGCCAGGGTCGGTTTCTGTCCATGAGCATTCCTTCTCCTCCCTCTCCCTGCCTGCCCAATCTAGAGTCATGGCGAGGGGGGGCCAAAGGGCTTGCTTGCTTCAACAGTTCCGCTGGGAAATAGTGGTTGTGCCCACTCACCCCGCCCCTCATTCTCTGCCTGATGACCAGAAAGGCATGTAAAGTGCATATCTCTCCCCTTAGGGATCTTGGAGGACAGGACTGTGTCTTTGGTCTGGCCATCCTTCCCCACTCTGGCCCTCCAGGGCCCAGCACACAGCCCTGCCTGGAGCAGGAGCTCAGCAAGGGTGTATTGAACGGAACTGCATATTTGAGGCTTCCTGACGTAAGAGGAAGGAGCAGGCCTCTGGAACCAAACATGTTGCTTGTTCATTGTGCCCCTTGGACAGTCATTTCCTGCTGAGCCTCGATTTCCTCATCTCTAAAATGGAAATAATCAGCCAAGTCCCTAGCAGAGTGCCTGACTCATGCAAGGTGTTCAGTTGGTGTTAGTGCTCTGGCCCTCGTTGTTCTCCCGTTGCAGGTGACTTTAGCTAGATGGTGGTCATTAATTAATTGTAATTAATTCATTTAGCTAACCACTTCCTATTGAGCACTTCGATGTGCCAGGCCCTGGAGGAGATTCCGACCCACTATGAGTCACTTGAAGTCACTTCTAGATCTAGATTTGCAGAAATAAGATCAGATAATTCCAAAAATAATTCCTGTCGAGTACTGGAATGCAGGTGAACTCTACCTGTCTCTAACACGCACACACGGAGACACACAAACACGTACAGGCCAGGCTCCTAGCCTCAGGGCTGTGGAACAAAGGACCCTGTGGAGCTGTGAGTTAGCTGTATGTGGAGTGTGTCTGTGTGCAAGTGTGTGTGTGTGTGTGTGTGTGTACACAGGCCTGGCTGCAGGGCAGGAAAAGTGACTCAGTCAAGAGGAGGGTGGCTCAGGGTTCCTGTGGAGGCTGGAGACGGGAGTCGGGTGGGTGATCCATGGGCATGTCTGTGTGTGGAGCTGGTGTCCCTTCTGTTTTCTGAGCAAGCCCAGGCACCTGTTATCACTGTCTACACACCAAGTACCAAGGGATGGGGGCACACACCTAACGCCTGCTCCTCCTCTGCCCTATTCTCAGGGCCCCAAGGGAGGGAGGGAGACACAGGCAGCTGCCACCCAGGCTGCCCTACCAAAACAGCTGGTCCTTGTAGAGGTTATCTCCTCCATCGCCCTGCTCCTCTCAGGAGGCCTTCTCCGTCTGTCCTAGTCAGCTGAGCCTCCTCCCCTGTGCTTTATGGGGTTTCCATTTTCTTTGCTTCATGCTCTCCCCCCATTATGGGAAGTCCCCTCCACCTTGCTATCTAAACATCCTTTCTGCTTTGAATGCAGCCACTTTTCTCTCTGTTGCTGGAACACACTCAGCTTATTAATTTCAATGAGAATGTATTGGTAAAGTTCTACCCAAAGAAATATCAAACTTGATCTCCTCCCTCAGCAAGACACAGAAACTAGACTATAGGAGCCAGAGAACATGGCCAAACAGGATTAAATATGAGGGCAAAATAGTCTTTGGGACTTAGCGGGCTACAGAGATTGGACGAGAGAGGTCACGCTGGGTCCCTCCGTTGTTGTGGACTGATCTCCGAGGGCTTTGAAGCCCAGCCTGAGGTTTGGACTTGGTCAGGAAAACACCTCTGCTCCTCCGCTGGGACCATTTCAGCACTCCCCTGCTTCCCAGGTCCCCTGCACTCTCTGATTTCCCCAGGGAGAGCAGCTCAGGGGGGCTGGGGTGGAGTCAGGGTCCCCCAGGACAGCTGGCTGACAGGGCCCCTTGGGACTCGGGACTGGACCCAGGCGTCCAGGAGGCGGGTGATACTGGAGCTGTGACAGTTGGTCCCCAGATTCCTCGCTCAGTGGCGCCAGCTCTGGTTTCGGGCAGGGACTAGGGAGGGGGAGGGGCGCCTGGTGCCAACCGGGGTTGGGTGCTCTCTTGGGGCAGGGAGGGGGGGAGCAGTAAACATAGGTTTACTTGGTAGGTTGTTGAGAAGGGATCTTTCCAGTGCCCTCTTTGTACCAGGCACTGTGCTCCATACTAATGGGATACCAAGGCATGAGACATAATGTGGCACAGGTGAATTAATGGATATGAAAGACACATTCAATGTATAGAATGTCATAGGTGGAATACAAGTTGAATGAATGAGTGAATAGGTTCATTATTTATCTAATGGCCTCATTTTACAGGGAAAGAGACTGAAGCCCAGCGAACCCAGGTCCTGTGACTCCCTTACGTCTTCTATTCCATGCAGCTTCCCTCTTCAGGAAAGGGAAGAGGAAGTCAGAGAAGGGGCTGGGAAGGACTTGCCATTTCCTGAGTGCCTCTTTATTGCTAAGCTCTCTTGTCCTTTACAGACTTGGTCTTATCTAATCCTCTTCACAACTCTGGGGGGGCTGGAATTTCCATCTCTGCTTAACATCAGGAAAATAAGGCTCAGAGAGGTCACACAGCTGGTTAGTGGACACTCCAGTGTTCAAAGTCTGACTCCAGAGCCTAGGAGTCCGGAGGTAAACAGTGGCACCTGGTTGATGGCCTAGAGGCCAAGGAAGGAGGGATCCCTGAAGCCGGAGCTGTTTTGAGAGGCTTCCTGGATGTGGATCTGTAGTGTCTGAGGGATAAATGAGGTTCATTCTAAGGGAAGGGACTGGAGGGATGATTAGAGGTTGATGCTGGAGATGCCCAGGGAGGCTTGCTGGTTGGGCATGGGGCCGGCTTGCCTGGATCTTGAGGGGCGCGGGACAGGTGGGGGTCAAGCGTCTTTGAATCTTGGCCACAAGGTGGCGCTGCAGGCAAACTACTGGGAATTGCTCCGCTCCAGTCTGACCTCCTGCGCTAGAGCCCAGATGTTTCCTCCCTGCCCAGCTAGGTATTGCTCCATGCCCAGCCCTGCCCCATCAAGTGCCATCTCAAGCTTCCACCTGGCCCCTTCCTGGTGGGGCATCCAGCATGTGCGAGATACTGAGGCCAACAGTCTATTCCTGCCTCAGGATGAAAACCCAGGTGGCTGAGACCTGGCCATCCCCATGGTCTGACCAG